TGCCACACTCAGCAATCCCCAAAGCACTGCTTTTTGACTGCTTTCCAGCCCCCCATCCTCCAACGAGCAAGTCAACCAACTCAATGCGCACCGGTGTTCCTGGGAGAGGGCATGTCGTCTCCGTTTTCTTCTTCTGAATCCTGGCATGCACAATGATATACGGCTTGTTGCAGTCCACAGACACTGAAGGGGTCTCATACTCCTGGACCGCCAATCCATCGATTTTAATCGCATACTGGTCCAGGGAACACGTGGTGAGGGAAGGCGAACAGGCGACATGCGCATGGACGGCGGTCAGTCGGTAGTCGACGTCCACGACGTACCTGAAACGGACCTGTCCGCCCTCAAAAAAGGCCGTGAAGGGCCCGGCATTGACGGCGTTCACGTTGATATCGTTGTAGTCGGGAAGACCACCCACCCACAGCGTTCCCCCGAGCGGGGCCGAGTCGATCTGGTTCGACCATCCCCAGGGTGGGTTGCACTCCAGTGCGACCCCTGGCGGGGACGCTGAATGGCCGAACGCGGAGCCGAAATCGCACCACTGTCCGTCCCCGGGCGGCGGCGGCGGCGGGGGATTCTCGCATCCGCACTTGGTTCTGAAGCTCCAGAAGGTGAACCAGGGATTACATGATGTTTTTATGCATTGCGCAGGGACGGCAGAGCTGGTCGGGCTCGCGGGGCTGCCGCCGGCGGTCCCACCTTCTGAACCCAGCGTGAGACTTTTCACGCTGGCATGCGTCACAATGTAGATGGTCTTGTCCGGGCACAGGTTGACATTTGGCAGGGCCTCACTTAGTGGGATGTCGCAGGATGCGGTGGCGCCCGAGACCGTGCACCGCGGGGATCCCTTGTTCGAACCCCAGGGATAGCCTCCGGGGTTGGTATCGGTCGGTCGACTGGTCCCCAACCACACACTCACCGTTTGATATTGGTAATCCTTGTAAGGCGGGTATCGCACCTGCAGGACCTGCTTGTCGGCACTCAATGATACAAGGACCTGCTGCCCGGTGGGCTTTTTACCCAGAATCCATTCGGCAGACGAACCCTCCCCAAGCCCGGTGAGGGTGGGAGTACAGTCCGCGCGTTTGTGAGTCCGTGCAGCCACAGCATGGGTTCTGGACGGGCTCGCAAAGCAAAAGTTGCCCAGCAAGCCTATGACGAGGCTGATGAGGATTAGACGAGACATAGTATATTGAGTAGCTCGTTAATGTTGATGGGTATATGATTCTGAGTTATGCGGGGAGAGACTTCTGCAACTTATAGACAACGTCATTGTATGCAACAGAAATATGTCGAGGGCAGAGAAAGGGTCCCTATCGGTGTGCCAAGCCGAGGTCCATAACAAAGCATGCAGAATCCCACGTCACAGATACGAGGAAAACAAATTCCGAGAGCTACCATTAGCCCTCCAGTTAGAGCAGCGGCGATAATCCAGGGAGCTCAGGTTCTGGCCAGGCCTGAAACGAAAACCGGGGATTCAACATCTACCGCTATTGGTTAGCCAACGAACAAGGTAAAAGAAGAGTGCTGGGGCCATTGTCGCCTTTGTCCTCGAAGACAATGCCAAGAACAAAACCAACAGAGTTGGCAAAATCCAGGGGTTTTTATCTTGGAGCTTTGGTATAGAACCAGACTTGTTTTGCTCAGCTGTCATGGCCAGTGGTCGGAGTAGGTTTTCTTTGTACGAGCTGCGGTCATCAGACTCAGTGACCAGAGGAATAGCGGATCGACGGATCTTTTAATCGGAACCGAGACAAGTAAGTTTGACAGCAGTCGTCACTCTGCATATTGACTTTTGGTCACATTTTCAACTTATTGTTCCTTAGACCTCAATGTTCTGAAGGTTGTTTTGTCTTTTAACCTGATTTCGTTTTTAATATGAATCTCACCTCTTGTTTTTACAACTCGTTTGGTTCCTGTAGTTGCGTACCGTATTATGTAGCTTATCAATCCCTTATCTTTACTTGCTCCTGGGAAAGCCCGAGGAATGATCACGTGACATGGCCGTTTCTCAGCATAGGGTCGCCTCTGAAAAGTTATTGACTGAGAATGACCATGTCGAACAGAAAGAAAAAGTAGTGAAAAACCAGGTGCAGTGCACCCTTTGTAATGCTTAGAGAAATTTAGTGGTTGACTAGCCAACCAGCTCAGTCACTCAACCCCGTTCAATAGATGGTTCAAGGACGGCTGAGTGGACAGGACGCCCACCTTTCTACACCCTATGGTCGTAGGTATGCGCAATTAGAGCAGTGAATAGTACTACGAAATGTGATGCAAAGCTAGATGCCGAAGACACCAAATTGATGCACGTTTCTAGTACTGTCTGGTCCAGAGATAGAAATATTCCCCCAAAGGCTCATGCCCTGCTCCGGGACCTGTCGGTCGCACGAGCTCGGATATAAGAAGACCGCCGCCTGCCAGGGCCGACTCCGGAAGTTCCTCGGAAGACGGATTTCTCTGTCCAATGGCTATCGAAGAGAATGGCAAATGCACAAGACCACATCCTTGATTCATCTTTGCACACGACCACATGTGCCGATTTGCCATGACTAGTGGCTGGCGGTTTGTCTAGTGAGATGCTTGAGCAGGCATAAGCACACGCCCGCCCCGCCACGCCCCACTCAGCTAGAGTCAAGGTCGGAAACGTGCTACCAATCTCCACATGCCATTGGTCTGTTCCTGTCAAGCACGTGCCCAGCCCTAAGGTAGATGGGACGAAGGTACTGAGCAGGTGGGAACTCCTACTGATCGATTCAATCGCCAGATGCGCGTGTGAGACTTAACTTGCACCATTATTTAAGTCCTGCTGTCTCCCTTCAAATGAATCTCCTCTTGCCTTCGTCCTCAGCTCCCTCAGCAAGATCAACCCCAATGGCTTCTTCAGTCGCTGCACTTGTCGCCCTGGCCGGTCTGGTCACTGGTGCCACCATCACCACCACGGAGCCTTCTTTGTCTGATATTCGACAAGCTCAGGCGACGACCGTCCCTCTGACTTGGACCTCCAATGTCACTGGCAAGGCGTACGATCGCTTTTACCAGATCTGGTTGGAGAATGTGGTATGTATTCGTGCCTTTGTGGTATAAGTGATTTGAACCTCATGTTCTCTATACAGGACTATGAGAATGCTGCCAACGATACCAACCAGCAATGGCTGGCCAGTAAGGGTATCACCTTGACCAACTACTACGGTACCGGTCATCCCTCGCAGCCCAACTATGTTGCTGCTGCCAGTGGAGACAACTATGGCATGGACAATGGTAAGTTCACTGTCGGTTCTTCAACTTCATAATAACAGAGGTTGATGATGATATAACCTAGACGAATTTCATGACATCCCTGCCAATGTCTCCACAATCGCCGACCTCCTGAATACCAAAGGAATCTCGTGGGGCGAGTACCAGGAGCATATGCCCTTTCCCGGTTTCCAGGGATACAATTTCTCCAACCAGGTGACTTACGCCAACGACTACATGCGCAAGCATAATCCCCTGGTCTCCTTCGACTCGATCAGCAGTAATGACACCGCTCTGCGGCTGATCAAAAACTTCACGACCTTTTACGACGATCTCGATAACCACGTACTCCCGCAATGGGCCTTTATCACCCCTAGTATGTCAACCTGTCTCAGGCTATCCGATCCCAAGACAGCATGCCTAACATCTCTCAACAGACATGACCAACGATGCGCATGACACAAACATCACCTTTGGCTCCCAATGGCTCCGGGGCTTTGTATCCGAGTTGATGAACAACACCTATTTCTGGGACAACACGCTCCTGCTCCTGACCTTCGACGAGACCGAGACCTACGGGGTCCCCTCCAGCGAGGAGTACGCCGAGCGCAACCGCGTGTTCAGCGTCCTTCTCGGTGGTGCCGTCCCCGAGCATCTGGTCGGCACCGAGGACGACACCGTCTACACCCACTACTCGACCATCGCCACCGCCTCGGCGAACTGGGGGCTCCCCTCGCTCGGCCGCTGGGATTGCGGCGCCAACATCATCCAGTTCGTCGCCGACAAAGTCGGCTACACCAACTGGGCGGTCGACAACACCCACCTCTTCCTGAATGTCTCCCTGCCCGGCCCCCTCTCCGAGGCCGACTACTCCCAGTACCGGCCCACCTGGCCCATCCCCGCCACCAACGCCTCCTGTTCTGCAGGCTACGGGGTTCTGCCCGCCGTCGTGGACACATATCAGGGCCAGGAACCCACCTACAACTACACCTCGCCGTTCCCCTACGATGCGCCCTATGGATTGAATGTGGGCACGTCGTACTCGCGGAACGGAACGACCTATGTTTCCGGGGTGAATGCGACCGGTGTGATCGGCGATGACTCCGTGTCGAATTCCACCTCCTCCTCTTCCTCTGCTTCTTCCTCGTCGGCGGTTTTCACGGGTGCGGCTGTTTCGGAGATGAGGGCTTCGGGGGCGGCCTCGGTGGCTGCGGCTGGCTTGGTGGCGCTTTTCGGCTTGTTGTAATTTGAAGGATTCGACGACAGAATGATATGAGCTTTTAATGCTTAATGCACGAACAACCTGTTTTGTCTTGATAATAGTTGAGGATAAATAATTCACATATTAAGCTACGGATAATCCCTCCTTTGTGCATATTCTTGAATAATGTAAGCTCCCTCAGGGAAGGCTAACTTTGAGAGGGTCCAAGTCGCCTCATTTTTCGGTCGCACTTCTTTAGAAACTATGTACTCGGATTTGGGAGAGTATATTTCTCTACAGAAAGCAACTTCTATCCAAGATAAAACAAAGATGAGAACAACTTGGACATTTCTCTTAGAAAATCTCATAACTACTTCATTTAAAAACTGCAAAATGATCAATAGGGATATAGTAGGTTACCTGGGAGAGTATCTTATTCAAAGAAGATAAAAATCTTAGATATCGTATCGATATCGTGGGAGCGATGAGTTCGTGGTACAAATATGTCAAGACTTAAATTCATTGATAACAGCCGTAGATCGGAGCGCGTCAGACCGACCGCTAATCACCAAGCCCTCTGAGCGCGAATGTAGTCCGTCCAGAAGCTCGCGCGCGCTGGGTCGTCCACCGTTTTGATCGTCTGCCACTCGCCGCCCAACTCGAGCAGAGTGTCCGGTTGATCCACGAGACTCGGCCACTCCGCCACACCCTCCAGACGAGAAGACGCACCCTGCGAGCCGTTCGGATTGCCGTATTTAATAAAATTGGCCCACAGGGTCGAGACCTTGTCGCCGATCAGCCGATCCGTCTCCGTCCATGGGCGGAGGTCGTTCGTGATCAAACTGTTGAACGTGTAGGCGAACTCGGCCCCGTGATACGCGCCCCCGACCGGACCCTTCTGGTTGGTGAACCCCGGAACTTTGGGCTGGGAGTGATCCGGCTGCCAGTTGCGCCACGGGGTGATGGGGTGGGTGAAGTAGTAGCCATACACCGCGGATCGAGTCTTCTGGTGATACTCCTGCGCCCAGAGGGCGATGTTGTTGCGCGTGTTGTCCCGAGCGGCCTGGTTCCATGTTTCCAACGGACCCTGGCCGGTTTCCCGGTTGCGTAGGGGGTAGAGTTCGTGGAACCGCTCGACGTAGGCGGGGTTACCCCTACCGTACGTCGAGTTGGGACCGAGACGACCCTCCACGCAGTCGAGAAAGTCCTCGTAGGTGAAGCGCGGCTCGTTGTAGGTGCCCCCTTCCTCGCTATTCATGCCCGCCATGACGGGGACGTCGTTGGGTGGTTCACCCGCGTGGATCTCATTCCAGGGCTTGGGGATCACGTAGCCGTCGAGGATTAGGCGGAACAAGGGGGGAGGTCCCCAGTATCGCCGGTCGCGTTTGGTTGAGACTTCGCGTAACTTGTCCAAATCGTCGAATCTCCGAAACTCGTCGACACTCTTGATGCCGAGCTCGCGGAGAAGTTGCACACCGTCTTCCTCGGCTTCCTGGAGGGTTCGGTAGGACATGGGTCCGTTGGCGAGGGCAGGCTCCTGGAACGAGCGGGGCCCGGATTGCAGGATCACGCCGTGAAGAAGCCCTTTCGCCAATGGAGAGGACAGGAGAGTGTGGCTCATTGCATTTCCAGCCGACTGCCCGCCGACAGTGACCTGGTTGGGATTGCCGCCGAAGACGGAGATGTTCGATCGCACCCACTTCAGTACCTCCACCGCGTCCAGCATCCCGACCATCCCGGACGTTCCGGACGGCGACTCGGCGCTGAGTTCGGGATGGGCAAAGTATCCGAAGATCGCTGTTCGCTCTTTGTGTCAGTTGGTGGATATGCATGTCACTGGTGCTGAGTGTATTAAGTTAACTTACACAGTCGGAAGGAGGGCACCACGACGATGACTCCCTTTTGCGCCAGTCCAGTCCCGTCGAAGTTGGGGTCCGCGCTGCCGCCCTCGCGAAATCCACCACCATGATACCAGACATAAACGGGGTACGGTCTCTTTGTATCCAGATCATTGCTAGGCTGGTAGACGTTGAGGTACAGGCAGTCTTCCGACTGGGGGTGGCCTTTCAAGACATTGGGGTAGCGTGGATCGGGTGGTGCTTGGGGGCACACCGGGCCGATAGTATCGCATACTCTGACATCGTCCCAGGGAAGAATGGGCTGAGGTGGCTTGAATCGATTGGCTCCAGTAGGAGGAGCCGCGTAGGGGATGCCTTTGTATATTGTGATCCCAGGGTCAAGGAGGCTGGGAAGTCCCTGAATGAGACCGCCCTCAACCTGTACGGGTGGTAATGTACTGCCCATTTTCGACTGTGACTGACGGTGAGAGAATGACAATTTCTCATTGATGAGAAGCAGGACATATCAAGCCCGGCTTATAATACTGAAAGCTTGTTAGCGTGTTCGGGGATTACTTACCCCTCATTTCATTAGGGTTGTCGGGCGGATCTAATCTCAGCCGAGTCTCGCCTCCGCATTTCCCCCGCTCTTTCTGTCTGCTTTCCTTCTCCCAACTCATGCTTCGCCTCGCCTCGCTTCCACCCTGACCATTTTGACAGATCCCCGTCAGGCATCATGACAGCTTTTACTCGGCAAACTCTGCAGTTCCCACCAGATTCCGGTCAGACCGACCAGCTCGTCTCGTCCGGGCTCCCCCGCAAGCGAAAGCGCGTCAAGACGGGTGAGTCTGATCAGCTGGCGTCCGTGACTGAAACTGTTGTGTGACATTTTTTTTGGCCCATCTAGGCTGCCTGACCTGTCGCGCACGCAAGGTGAAGTGCGACGAGACACATCCACTTTGCAACAATTGCCGCAACCTGGATGTGGAGTGTCAATGGGGCCAAGGATCTAGACGACAGGGATGTGAGTCATTTCATCAGACGTAAGGGGGGGCATCGGACATGCTCTCGATTGCTCATCCATCAATCAGCTACTGCATCCCTTTCCGATCAAGCCGGTCGACCCTCCGTTCCACAGACCAGGGCCGGGCCCCGTTCTCCCGCGTGCTTTAACTGTCGCTACGCACGGTCCAGATGCTCCAAGACCCGCCCGTCGTGCACCCGCTGTGCTATCTACGGCCACGAATGCAGTTACCCCGAGACGAATAAGGGACGGTCGTTGACGTCCTCTGCCCAGTCCTTGATGCAAAGACTTCGAAGTAGTCACTCACCGTCTCCAGCCATCTCCTTCGAAGATGAGTCGAGAACCATTGCTCCTGTCTATGACCGTGCTATGGTATCTCCCCCTGAGCTTCCCAGCGACGAAAGCCGTGTCGGGTTCAGTTATGAAACAATAAAGGAGAATCAGGTGATGAACACTGGCTTGGTTAACATATTAAATGGGTTGGATGTGTTTGGTCCTGATACTGTTCACGATGTTTTGTTGCCGACCCGTTCCGACTCAATCCTCAACTCCACTAGTCCCAGTAGGACCCAAGCGGACAGGTCTAATCAATCCGCTCAAATCAATCTGCCTAGCCAGGATCGACTGGAGCGTCTTGCAGTGACTTTCTTTCTTCACGTTCATGTCTATCGCGCCAATGCTTTTCTCCACCGAGACCGAACGCTCACTGCCATCCGCGATGGGACCTTATCCGGGGCGATTGTCCTCGCTCTGTGTGCTGTCGGGGGGAGATTCGCCTTTCCCCCGGAGTCCGAAGAGACAGTAATGGCCTGGGCAACAGATGCAGGTATTCAGATTATAGCATCGACGGACGTAAACAGAGACAACATCGCGGCCTCCCTTCTGCTAACAATCTATTATCAACAGGCGGGTCAGTTTGCACGATCCCATCTCTGGTCCGGGATTGCCATGAACCAGGCAATTACCCTCGGCCTGCATCGCGAAGCCCCACTAAGAAACCACACCTTCGTCGAGAGCGAACGCGATCGACGGATATTCTACGCATGTTACGCGATGAGCCGGCTCATATCCAACGGCGCACCGGAGTCGATTCAGTGCCCTTCGTCTCGCATCAGGCTCAAGCTACCGTGCGACGGCTTCAACTACCGGATGGATGTTTCTGTGGAAACACCATACGCCCAGTTGGAGGAGGCCGAGGGGCCATCAGGGTCGGCTGACACCCACCAATACGTGGGCGCCATGGGGTTCTGGGTGCGCTTAGTCGGGGTCCGAACGATGGCTCGGCAATACTTTCACACCCTCTGTGAAAGCCGACAGCAGGAGCAGCAGCAGCATGAAAGCGTGATACGAGCAGTGCCCGGGGGTAATCCAAGATGCCCCATGTTACTACCGTCGCTAGCACCGTGGAGTCCCAGCTCCCCGTATGTAGCATGCATGGCCAAGCTAGCCCTCATCCGAGAGTCGCTACCTACAAGGTTCCAGCTCTCCCGCGAACGCGTCGCGCAACTCGCCGAATCTCCCGTCCTCGGCCAAATCGTGCTGTTCTACCTGTGGTGGAACATTTGCCACATCGAACTATGCAGCATGGCGTTGACGGGGTACGCGCAATCGTTGGACGAGGCTACTCTCGCTGCCGCTCCGGATGGCTGGGTCCAACAGACGCGCCAGAACTGCTTGCGGCATGCGCAGGCTATAACTGATGTGCTGGAACTCCTTGATCGGGAGTTATATGCGCATCCGCTGACGATCTACGACCATACCATCGCGCATGTAGTCTACCTGTCCCTTCGAGTGCAATTGGAAGTCGGACTCGTGGATGATGAGATCCCGTCTCGATTGATGAACCGATTTGAGATGATGCTCGCGTTTGTGAAACGAACGAGTACCTATTTCCGGTCGGTTCAGCTCGTGGTGAGATTAAGCCCTGCTCATCTTTAATTCCAGCCTAATCGACCGCTCCTTCTAACGAGTCTATCCATGCCATCTAGCTCAAGGAGATGCGTCGCATGCTGGCCGACCATGGAGTAGTCCCTTGCAACCCGCATCAGGAGAGCCAGTCGTGAGTCCGCTCTTTGTTCATGTATCCTCACTACCACATCTCCTGCAAGCAGGGACTGAATCCCCGCCTAGTAGAGCCGAAACACCTCCACTACCTTGGTTCCGACGTCAAAAGAGCCTGGATAGCCAAAGGCTTGCAGAGCAAGCGGCTATTGTGAGTAGATTGAATGACAAGGGAAGCCAATACTATCGTCCTGATACTAATTGGTTCGCTTTCTCAACGCAGGAAAGTATAGACATTGACGCGATTCTCCTCGACCTCTTGCCCGACTGCACATGAACGCACGGGACTACCGGCTGGATGCAAGGACTTGAAGCTCGGGACGCTACTTTGTCACAGGTGCGTGAGTCCTAAACACTACGCCTCCTATTCTCTGTGCAGACAACTTAATTTTCCTTGACTCAGGGACCCCCTCCAAGTGCAGAATGGAACACTTCGATTCCTGGTCTCTGGGCTCCACAACACACCCGTAGCTCATCGCGGGCGGCGAATGGCTTGGATAGTACGAGGATTGACTTGGAACCGGGTGTTCGTAATTGCTCGTGGTGATTGTAAAGGTTTCTCTGGGTAGAGATCTATAGTGTTTTGTCTTGCGGGCAGTTTCTGGGGTTGCATAAGCTTAGAACCGTTTGTGTTAAAGGCTCGGTGACGAGATAATCTGTTCACAATAAATGCTAGGATAGGAGCGATTACCAAGTACCATTAAATATATCCTTCATGCGAAATAATGCCGGAGGCATAGGACATCCACTGTAATTTGCTTATTTCATGGAGGTCCCAAAGATAAGATTGCAACGATCAGACTGTCACACGTCATCTTCTCATCGTGGGAAGACCTCTAGAAACCTCCCCTTCTAGTTCCTAGGCGAGTCTCGCCTGCGTGCCTCGCTTCCCGATCGGGGAAACCCGCCCGATGCCGTGACAGTAGCGAGCGAGCATACCGAGCGTCTTCCCCAGCCTAATGTGTATTTGTTTTCGACGTGCCAATTCATGTGCTCTGCTCTCAGTTGCTGGCTAGAGGTCTTTACTGCTGCCTTCGTTGAATCTGACTAACTCATTTAGCAGCCTATTTGACTCCGAATCAGGTGGATTTCAGTGACACCTATCGAGATCTCCCACATACCGTCGTACATTGACCTATACACCAACCTATACCAACAAAGAACAATGCTAGATCAACCGACAAATTCTTCCGACAACGAGAAACATGCCGCCACCCAGATGATCGCAGCCCCAGAAACTGCTGCGACTTCCACCAATAACACCGACAGCGACAGCAGCACCCGCCAAGATGCGCCCGTCCAAACGCAGACGAATCTCCTCCCAATGCGCCAGCTTCTGATCGTTTTTTCCGGCCTATCGACTGCGATGCTATGCTCTATGCTCAATCAAACCATGTAGCCCACCCAGACCCACCCGCCGCTGTGTTTGATGTTATTAACAAGGAAAATATAGCGTCGCCACCGCCCTCCCTACCCTGGGCGCTGTATTTCACGAAGCCGACATCGTCGCGTGGGTAGGCACCGCCTATCTTCTAACCAGCACCGCCTGCCAGCCCCTGTACGGCCGGCTGAGCGACATCTTCGGTCGGAAGGTGATTCTGCTCGGCTCGTTGGGGTTTTTCCTGTTTGGAAGCGTCCTGTCGGGAGTGTCGCGGGATATGATTATGTTGATTGTTTCACGTACGTGTTTCTTTGCCCCGGAGGAGGAGTCGGGGCTTGGCAGCTGACACCAACGGAATGTGATGCAGGTGCCATTGCAGGAATCGGCGGCGGCGGGATCGTCACGGTCGTCAGCATCGTCGTATCCGATGTGGTCTCCCTTAAGGACCGGGGCAAGTATCAAGGGATCATCGGCGTGGTGGTCGCCGCGGGGACGGCGATGGGGCCGGTGATTGGGGGCGTATTCACGGAGAAGACTTCGTGGCGGTGGTGTTTTGTATGTACACCTGTCCTGTCCCGTTTTTTCGTCCCAATCTGTTTCAAATGTGTTGATGATACGACATGCTGATCAATGTGGAGCTTTGATTTGTAGTATATCAGTGTTCCGCTCTCGGCGGTTGCGATCGTGATTGTCGCGTTTGCCCTGCCGCTCAAGAAGGTCGAAGGGAATGCAATGGAGAAGATCAAGAAGATCGACGGCTGGGGGAGCTTGGTCAGCTTTGCGGCTTCGATCGCGATTTTATTGCCGATTTCCTGGTGCGTGGGCTGGCAATTCTGTGGTAGGCTTTTGTTGGCTGCTTCTAAGCTAAGCGGGGTGTGTCTTCTAGGGCTGGAACGCGATATGCCTGGACCTCGGCGGCGGTTCTGGCTCCGCTGTTAATCGGAATCTGGCTCATCGGGGTTTTTATCTTGGTTGAAGTCAAACTAGCCAGACTACCCTTGTAGGTTACACTGTTACATTAAATCTGGCCACACTTTTAGTGTGAACAACAAATGCTAATCCATTTATCTGCATAGAATCCCATGTGCGTTGATTCTGAAAATCCCCAAATCAACCCCTCGCTCGAACTCTCCAAGCCGATACTAAACCATGAATGCCCACCTAGTATCAATGTTCAAAAACACCCACGTAGCCGTGTGCATCACCACATCCTTTCTAACCGGCTTCATGACCTTTGTCAACCTCTACTACGTACTCACCCCCTCCATTTCCCCCATCCTTTCTCACCACAAACCTAATCCCTTTCCAAAACGAACAGCTCCCCCAGTTCTACCAAGTCGTCCAAGGCGACTCCGCCCTCCGCTCCGGGATCCTTATCCTCCCCCTCGTGCTCTCCCAGATCATCACAAGCTTCACCTCAGGCTTCCTCGTCTCCAAGTACGGGTGCTACCGCATCAATCTGATCGTTGGATACGGGCTGTGGACGATCGCCTCGGGGGTCTTCACGACCGTTGACCCGGCCACCCCCGCCTGGAAGCTCGTCGTCTTCCAGTTGATCACCGGCTTGGGGAGCGGACAGACCCTGCAGACGACGCTGGTGGCGATCCAAGCGGCTGTGCAGCGGCACGAGATGGCCGTGGTGACGGGCGCACGGAATTACCTGCGCATGATGGGATCAACGTTGGCTGTGGCGGCAAGTGCGGCGATTGTAAACAATGTTGTTCGGTAGGTGTGCCTCTTTCTGTTACGGTGACGCTGCGAGGCGGGAATAGAATCGGGATGGTTGTTTTTGGGGGGCGGTGGTGAATTGGGTGTGCGGCGTATGGTATGAGCTAACCCGTGATACTTTCTTGGGGATAGTTCGAAACTCACGGCGCTGGACTTCGATTCCGCTGTGATATCGTCGATTGTGTCCGATCCGACGACGATTACCTCGATGAGTGGATTGTCCGAGGTGGAGGTAACGGAGGCGTTGGATGCGTATGGTGAGCTTCTCCTTCCCACATCCCGTTCTGGATGGCACTGACTCGTCCCAACCTCGGTCTGAGTGGCTATAGCCAAAGGTGTGCAAGTCACCTATTACATGATGACTGCGTTGGCGGGGGTACAGTTCCTGCTCTGTGTGTTCTTCGTCAGGGATTACTCGCTGGAGCGCGAGGATGATGCCCGCGAGAAGGAGGCGGCGAAGAACTGGCTTCAGGAGCGGAAACGGAAGCAAAACGGGAAGGGGGGCGTGGCGGAAGGGGTGGCTGGGGTGGAGGAGGTTGAAGATAGGGTTTAAAATGCGTCGGTTCTCTCAGTAGGGGTGCAGGCTTGGAGAGAGTAAAGTCAAGTTGCGCGTTTCCGTACTGGTGGTTAGTAGTAAGAAAAAGTTCAATTTCGAGGTACCGCGGGGCAGTTTATTGCAATAGACGAGGAGAAATTGGAACAGGAAGTTATGAAATATTATATTATTACGCCCCCTTGAACCTCCGACTATTGTGTGTTTTGATGTAAATATATCTTCAGAATGACTGCAGGCTGTCTCTTCTCTGTCGTGGGGAACTGAAGGAATCTAAGCATAGACTATATATCTCTTCCAATCCATTGGTAGCCATACGAAAGATCGTTGTACCGAGAATCATCATCCTCCAATCTTCTCTGGAATGTTTCCGGTGTGTGGCTTAGGCACTTATTCAGGCGTGAATTCAGACCTCTCATATTAGTCTTGTCAGCTATTCTCTGACTAGCTACATACCTTCCCATGCTCACTTTCCATACAACAACCATAAGCCACCCAGCCTATCTTTCTTTCTTCCTTCTCCTTACCCGAAACAGGTCAAATACTATTTCTAATTACTGTATTCAACATGTTCAACAGCCTGACTCTTTACAGCCCCGTTTTCACCTCCTGCGTGATGCTGATTGACCGCGTCATCTTCGAAAACATCAATCTTTGCGTTACGCCATTTGCGCGGGTGCAGACCCGAGCTCTCGAACAGGTAATCGATCTCACGAAAGGTGCGGCCTTTCGTCTCTGGTAGTCGGAAGATGCACCAGATCCAGATGAGGGCGTTGGTACCAGCCTGCGATGATACACAAATAAGAAATAATGTAACAAAACCGACAGGATCATCACATATGGATCACTCACAAACAGGAATGCGGTCTTGGCACCCAGGTTCCACAAACCACCGGTCAACATCTTCGGGATGAGCACATTGGAGACCAACGAGCTCACATTGAAAGCCACCCGAGCGAGCGAGATCATCTTAGCCCGGAGCTTACCAGATGGGACTTCACCCTATTTGTTCCCACATTTTACACATCAGCACAAGTTATGCGATGGTAGCACAACAGAAAAGATGGGTGACGACTCACCACAATGGTGTACGACGACGGCGCCACCGTAGCAATGTAGACCACACTCGAAACCAGCAACAACGAGCCCACCGCATTGGACACTTGGGTACTCTGCTTGACGCACCCCAGCACGCCGATCGCGAACAGAAACACATCGCTGATGATCAACCCGGCAATGAAGATCGTGGCCCGGCCGAACCGCGTCATGAGCCAGATACAGAACAGCCCGAAGGTCAGATACTGGGAGTTGAGAATGAGGTTCAGGTCAAAGGCGCCGTGCTCGGACAGACCGGCCTGCTCGAGGAACTGCACCGTCTGCACGTTGATCCCGTTCCCGCCCCAGATCTGCGCCATCTGCACGATGCACACGATCTCCGTGCGCCAGCGGTTCTTGCCCCGGAAGCACTCGGCGTAGCTGCTGGAGGCGTTGAGTTCCACCTCCATGCGGTTCGTATAGTCGATCAAAGCGATCGTCTGCTCAATTTCTTCGGGGGTGGTGTTGTCGCTGCGGATACGGCGGAGGATGGCGCGCGCGTCGTCGAGGCGGCCGGTGCGGACGAGGAAGTAGGGAGATTCTGGGGCGAGGAGGAAACAGATGAGCAGTGGGGGGACCCACACAAATTGAATGAGGAAAGGGATGCGCCAGGCTAAAAGGACTTTTGTCAGACCACGAGCTCTCTCCTGCCACTTACACCATATCTGCAAGAAGAAGGGAGACCTACCCCATTCACCGGGGACATTCAAGCAGGCTCGGACAATCAGCGAGCCGATAAAAAAATCCCAATCCCCAGCAGATGCCCACCCATGCGGTGACAAAGGGACGCAGACACGTGGGCACCATTTCAGAGGAATAGGCGATACAGCCGGTCTGGAAGGCACCCCATGGAATTCCGCACATTACCATGGCGGCAACCATCATTCCGAGGTTTTTCGCAAAGGCAAACAGAAATAGGGTGCCGGCTAGCATGAGCATCATCCCGCTGAGAATGGGCTTCCACCCGTATCGGTCGGCGAGAAACCCCGCCAGGGAGAGACCGATGAGCTCTCCGCACGCCATGGCTTGCTGGATGGCGGTTTGCCACTTCGCGGATATCTCCAGAACCCCGTTGTCGTGCGTGCCAAATTGCTGTTTGAATTGGTCCTGGCCGTAAAAGGTGGTGGTCTGTCACGGCCCGCGGCATTGTGGAAGGGTTAGTTAGGGCTGGAGATTGGGGGCGGGGGAAATGCGGGGGCGTGGGGGCTCCACTCACGCATGTCGCATCCGCCGCCTGCATGGTCAGCGTGAAGGAAAAGACACATGCCCAAAACACAGCTTTGCGATACTTTCGGATGGCTTGCCACCAGGTGAGTGCGTGGTCCGCAGCATTGGCGGCGTGAGCCCTCTCGAGGAGAGTGGTTTGCTCGATGTTTAGTTCGGGGTCCTTGGAGTCAGCCATCTTGAGACAGACATCTCTGGTCTTGTATGGTTCCAGTGGGGACGATCGCCTCTAAATGGTCTTCCGGATTTTGCGGGGAAACGTGGGGTAAGCAAGGTCCGGCTATACTCTATCGCGCCTGATGCAGGCTTTGTAGGTGTCTCAGGAAGCTAAGGGCACTGTACCTCGTATCCATCAGGCCATACGATCCGAGGCGATGCTCGCCAAGTTACTGGATGCCAAAGCTTAAAAGATCGCGGCTCGGTAATTTCGCCTAGGTGATAAGAGGCTAGCTGCCATGGCGTAGCCTTTAGCACCCCTCAAAGCTTCTCCTGGTGTTCATTTGAGCTCTCACCTACCTTCACTCACCCCTCCTTCCTTTGCCACGTTGCTCATACCACCAATCCCCAAGAAAGTCATGTCGCAAAGTTCACGAACCATGTACGCCTACGTTGGTAGCTTTGTTATGCCGACCCCAGGCGCACATGATGGGCTGCATGTCTTCCGGGTAGATTCCGAAACTGGAGCCCTGACACCAGTCTCCTCCCACATCCCCGGCCTCAACGTGGGTAGCTTCGCTCTCGACCCCCAGCGCGGTATCCTCTACGTGACGGATGAAGTGGCCTCTACCTTAGAATTCCGTCAGCAACACCAGCTCGCCGGCGGCGGAGGCGGGCGGATCTTCGCCTTCACGATCGATCGAGCGACGGGGGCTCTGAGCGAACTCGGCCACTGGCCCAGCTACGGCACGCAGCCCGCGGGAATTGCCCTACACCCCAGCGGCAATTTCCTGGTGGTCTCGCACTTCACCAATCGCACCACCACAACCACTCAAATCACCGGGACCGCGCAATCGGGCTTCGCAATCAGCCCTCGCTATGACGACGCAACCACCGTCCTCTTCCCTCTCGACCCAACCGGTCGCATTGGCGGCCCCTGCGACATTCATATCCACGCACCCGCCTCGCCGCCTTCGTGTCTGCACTCCATCAGTCTCTTTCCAACCAGCACCCACGACAACAACACCTTCTATCTCGAATGCGACATGCTTAAAGACCAGCTCTTGACCTTCACACTCACCGCCAAGCCTCCCCTTCTCCGCATGCACGCATCCCATGCCACTCCGAAAGGCAGCGGTCCACGCTACTCAGCCTTCCACCCTGCCCTCCCTGTCTTTTACGTCAATTACGAATACCATCCCATCATTGAGACCTTTACCTACCACCCGGATGGATCCTTTACCTCCTTGTCCAAGGTGGACGTCCTTCCACCGGCCGTGGAGCTAGACGCAAACTATGCGCCACCGGAAGGGAAGGTTCTACTGTCTGATCTGAAGGTGCATCCAGGCGGAGAGTTTGTCTATACTTTAGTGCGGGGATACAATGTGCTCAGTGTCTTTCGCGTGGATCACACCACGGGAGGGTTGGAACGGATCCAGACGGTCAAGTTGATGGGTGGGGTTTCGCCCAAGGGGTGTGCGGTTAGTCCCGATGGACGATTCCTGTATGTGGCTCTTTCGGTGAGCGGGCTGGTGCAGGTATGGCGGGTGGAGGAGGAGAACGGTGGGAGGGTGGTGTTTACGGGGTCGACGGTTAGTGTGCCGAGACCGGGAGCTGTTTTGGTGGTAGAGACGTAGATATATGAGGGGTTAATTCGGTATTTCAGATGTTCATATATGGATTTTTGTCCGAGTTGTAGGATTCCAGAACACTATACATCTTGTTTGAGTATGTTGGAGGATCATTGGGAATATAACAAGACTCAAAAAAGTGGACAATCTCAGATGAACTGCAGCCTTCTATTTCCGTTGGTGTTTGCGATATTCTAGTAAGTCTGCAATATACCTAGTAAATTGAGGTATGTGTGACAACTCTAAAAGGTCTCGAACAGCGGATAAAGAACAAATTACACCCCCTTCTCTTTCTCCTCAACCACCTTCGCCCTCGCATCCCACCAAAACTGCAGCCCCTCATCATTCAACCCCCCTAACACATCCTCCGCCGTATGCGGCGCCCCGGGGACAATGGCCTTCCCAAAGTCGACCCCCCACGCCGTCAGCGTCTCCCACATATGCTCATGCGCCTCGCGCAACCGCACATCCTCGCCCCCAATCAACAATCTCAGCTCCGTCTTCTCCTGTTTCACATGTTCCAACTGTCTCTCCAACAGCGTCAACGCATGATTCGCCGTGAAAAACGCCTGACTACCATTATACGTATCATACGTCACCTCCCGCCCTTCATCCGCGAGCTTGGTCCGAAAGCTGCCGGCGAGAGAACTCAACGCCCCGCCAAAGACCTCGGGGTACTTCAGGCCCAGATTCCACGCCCCGTAGCCGCCGGCCGAGTGGCCCTCCAACCACCGCGCCGAGGGGTGCCGGATCGTGCGGTATCGCTCGTCGACGGCGGCCACGAGATCGCGCCGCATGATATCGCCCAGCGGGCGCGTGCCATCGTAGCTGTTGATCCATCGGCCCTTGGGAAGGGCCTGTGCGGCGATCAAAATGCAAGGGGGCATTTTGCCCAGCTCCATCTTCCGGTAGTAGAAGCGCAGGGACCACTCCGCGTGTCGGGAGCAGGAGAAGCCCCCGTGCAGCCAGTAGAGGACCGGGTACCGCGGTCCCTCGAGGTCGGTGTCCGAGTAGCCCGGCGGTAGGACTACCAGGTAACTCCCTTGCGCGCCGGGCCCGCGGGTCGGTTGCGGGTAGAGGGCGTATTGGATCTCGGAGGGTAAGGCCCACACGTCGGTGTCAATCCACATGTGGTTGTAGGCATCCAGTAATGCGGCGGGCGGATGCCAGCGGCCCTTGTAGGGGGGGATCGGGGGGTAGACTTCCGAGGAGGAAGGGGTGGTGGTGGTGTCGACTGTCATTTTGTTTTGGGGGGATGGGAGTGGGATGTTGTGATTTGTGAGGAGAACAGGGGAGAAATCGAATCTGAATTTAATATTTGTGAGTGCTGGAATCAGCTGGTCGAGTCAATTGAAAGTATGATGCGACCGCGAGTTATATACAAACGTGGGCTGGCCCGAGTCCGCCATGCGGAGTCGCGGGGGGTAGAGGGGTAGAGAGCCCCACAATTTTGGGCGGGCGACCTTCGTTTTACCGACGCGGGGAAATAGGCGAGTCTCGCCTGCGGAGTTTCCGGGGAGTTTCGCTCGCAGTGTTGTCTTCCGAGGTCGGGGTTTCGGGATCGCGAACAACAGCGGCCAGCGCAAGTACAGCTGCCTCTCCTCGCGGCATATTCGCCTTTCTGCCGGTTGGTAAGGAGCCAGTCTGCTTACAGAAGAAGCGACAGGTGGGACCGCTTTAACGGTCCTTCTTGCGAGCTAGCCAGATGGAGCATGCTGCTTTTACCGGTCAGCTCACTTAATCATGTTGCTCCAGGTGATCCTCAATGTTATGACCAACGTATTCCTTCTTTTTAGGACTAAAGCATGAAGCTAAACTTGTACAGTACCCCAGCATTTGGTGTGATAATCTATAGACCTGTAGACAAAAAGAGACGGGACTACCTTTTGTTTGCTGGCCTGGGGACCGTTTCTATTACATTGAATAAGTATAATAATCTCAATATGCACCAGGCTTCATATGCTCCGCGGTATTTGGCCTTGACATCGCATGTAGGAGAATAAAGGGGAATACACCCTAATACACAGTGAGTTGGGATCGTTTCGCCCATGAGATAAAAGAACAGAACAGTCTCATGAAGACAGACAAAGATGGCGAATGATTGGCTATAATTTCCATGCGAAAGAGTTATCATACCAGCCAGGAGGTAGCGATACGATCATAGAGCTATTATCATATGCACCCTGTTTAAAAAAACTTAGTCGTTAATCTAGATCAGTCATTGACGAAACACACACACCCGATCTTGTTTTGAATTATGTGGTTCAACCGCTCCCGCTTGACCAACGTTCCCCTTGTCCAGCACCCAGATGACTCTGGGGGTTTGCTCAAATATTGCCTTCTTCTCGCGATTGCATCTCTGGGTGTCATGTGAGTTGTCAATACAGGTATTAGGATGATGAGTACACGATAAATAAAATCCAGCTCAGAAGGCCTTCCGAGGATAGCACCACGATCGAGAAAGGGTTAATATTTTCAACATCTACTCAGGCGTCATGATAGGAAACGGCCAGATTCAGGGTCTCTAGATATACAAAAAACTGGGAATGACAACATTATGAGCAATGCGCCCGAGAAACCGCCGGCGTATTCGACGGCTGCTGGCACAACAAATACCCGTGGTTTGAACCAGTATCATGGATGACTCGGAGCCGAGCCCCAAGCGGAGACCACATCCTTGATTAACCCCATCGACTTCTTCGCTGTGACCTCCTATCTACATTTTAGTAATCATGCCACCATGCAGGAATAGTTAGGGGCTTCGTAGCGGAGGCAATCGAGGTGCAGAGTAACACGAGCGTCCCAAGCTTATACCTGTGGGGCGAGTCTTCGGAAACCCCGCCCGAATACGATGGGCCCCCTTCAAGCGAACTCCATTTTCAATCAAATCGTGCATATGATACAACACGTCATGTGAGGTTCAGACTTGAGAACCTCGTGTGGTAAAATATGCGTCTGGGCCACTGTATAGCGGAGGAAAAAAGGCGATGAGCGAGTCGTTCAGATTATTGTCAGGGATTCTCCGTGGAACGCGTAGCTTTTCATGACCATGGCTCAAATCTCTACTCTTCGTATCCTATTCACCTGGTATAGAGCAGTGGGTGAGGCAAAAGGCTGGCAAAAGTTGGAAAGATGAACAATGAGCGGACCGCAACTAGACAGCTCTCGGTGACGAAATGCCGTCTCCCAGAGCTTCTACACGAGGAGTCCTTATATAAAGTCTCAGACCTCGTGGCCAGAATTATGATAGCACCCGAAAATCGTCTTTTGCTATCCTTGTTCATATTCCACCCGCATCTGTTGACTTGATCTCACTCATGCAACTATTCATCATGAATAGATACGAATTGCTTGCCATACTTCTACTCGGTGAGGGATCTATCATTTGCCACTTACTTGGCGATCCATCGGGTGCATATAACTGACAAGGCAGGGAAAAGTCGCTGGTGTTGAGCCTCAGGTCGGCAACCCGGGCGGCAATAGTGTCTGTGCCCAATGGTGTGCACAGAACTTCCCTAGTAACCCCGGGTCCTGCACATCACAGGCAGCTAAGAATGGAGGCCCATGTTTTATTTGCGGCCCACTTCAACCGTCACCTATAAGACAGATGCTATGCTCGGGAGTATGTACAGATATCACCACTGCGCAAAATTGCGGCAAGTGTGGAAATGCAGTAAGTAGACCTGCCCCTAGATTCCGGCTTCTTCCGCTTCTAACATTGAGGGGGTAGTGTGGAGTAGGTAAAGGCTGCTGCTCGGGAGTATGTACAGATATCACCACTGTGCAAAACTGCGGCAAGTGTGGAAATGCAGTAAGTAGACCTGCCCCTAGATTCCGGCTTCTTCCGCTTCTAACATTGAGGGGGTAGTGTGGAGTAGGCAAAGGCTGCTGCTCGGGAGTATGTACAGATATCACCACTGTGCAAAACTGCGGCAAGTGTGGAAATGCAGTAAGTAGACCTGCCCCTAGATTCCGGCTCTTCCGCTTCTACATTGAGGGGACAGTGTAAGTAGTGAGGTCTG